CAGAGAGGTATTCCACTTTTAAATCGGGTAAAAATTTCAAAAGTGATGGGCTAAGCAGTGCTGGGATCTGGTCACTTTTCTGCAAACCCATTTTTTGCAAATTTTGACAGGTCGGGGGTCATAAAAAATTACAAAATATTGACCAACAATTCGAAAATAAACCAATGATGCAGCTAGATAAATATTTTAATAACAAATTCAGAGAGGTATTCCACTTTTAAATCGGGTAAAAATTTCAAAAGTTATGGGCTAAGCAGTGCTGGGATCTGGTCACTTTTCTGCAAACCCATTTTTTGCAAATTTTGACAGGTCGGGGGTCATAAAAATTACAAAATATTGACCAAAAATTCGAAAATAAACCAATAATGCAGCTAGATAGATATTTTAATAACAAATTCAGAGAGGTATTCCACTTTTAAATCGGGTAAAAATTTCAAAAGTTATGGGCTAAGCAGTGCTGGGATCTGGTCACTTTTCTGCAAACCCATTTTTTGCAAATTTTGACAGGTCGGGGGTCATAAAAAATACAAAATATTGACCAAAAATTCGAAAATAAACCAATAATGCAGCTAGATAGATATTTTAATAACAAATTCAGAGAGGTATTCCACTTTTAAATCGGGTAAACATTTCAAAAGTTATGGGCTAAGCAGTGCTGGGATCTGGTCACTTTTCTGCAAACCCATTTTTTGCAAATTTTGACAGGTCGGGGGTCATAAAAAATTACAAAATATTGACCAAAAATTCGAAAATAAACCAATAATGCAGCTAGATAGATATTTTAATAACAAATTCAGAGAGGTATTCCACTTTTAAATCGGGTAAAAATTTCAAAAGTTATGGGCTAAGCAGTGCTGGGATCTGGTCACTTTTCTGCAAACCCATTTTTTGCAAATTTTGACAGGTCGGGGGTCATAAAAAATTACAAAATATTGACCAAAAATTCGAAAATAAACCAATAATGCAGCTAGATAGATATTTTAACAACAAATTCAGAGAGGTATTCCACTTTTAAATCGGGTAAACATTTCAAAAGTTATGGGCTAAGCAGTGCTGGGATCTGGTCACTTTTCTGCAAACCCATTTTTTGCAAATTTTGACAGGTCGGGGGTCATAAAAAAATACAAAATATTGACCAAAAATTCGAAAATAAACCAATGATGCAGCTAGATAGATATTTTAATAACAAATTCAGAGAGGTATTCCACTTTTAAATCGGGTAAAAATTTCAAAAGTTATGGGCTAAGCAGTGCTGGGATCTGGTCACTTTTCTGCAAACCCATTTTTTGCAAATTTTGACAGGTCGGGGGTCATAAAAAATTACAAAATATTGACCAAAAATTCGAAAATAAACCAATGATGCAGCTAGATAGATATTTTAATAACAAATTCAGAGAGGTATTCCACTTTTAAATCGGGTAAACATTTCAAAAGTTATGGGCTAAGCAGTGCTGGGATCTGGTCACTTTTCTGCAAACCCATTTTTTGCAAATTTTGACAGGTCGGGGGTCACAAAAAAATACAATATATTGACCAAAAAATTCGAAAATAAACCAATAATGCAGCTAGATAGATATTTTAATAACAAATTCAGAGAGGTATTCCACTTTTAAATCGGGTAAAAATTTCAAAAGTTATGGGCTAAGCAGTGCTGGGTTCTGGTCACTTTTCTGCAAACCCATTTTTTGCAAATTTTGACAGGTCGGGGGTCATAAAAAATTACAAAATATTGACCAAAAATTCGAAAATAAACCAATAATGCAGCTAGATAGATATTTTAACAACAAATTCAGAGAGGTATTCCACTTTTAAATCGGGTAAAAATTTCTAAAGTGTTGGGCTAAGCAGTGCTGGGATCTGGTCACTTTTCTGCAAACCCATTTTTTGCAAATTTTGACAGGTCGGGGGTCATAAAAAACTACAAAATATTGACCAAAAATTCGAAAATAAACCAATAATGCAGCTAGATAGATATTTTAACAACAAATTCAGAGAGGTATTCCACTTTTAAATCGGGTAAAAATTTCTAAAGTGTTGGGCTAAGCAGTGCTGGGATCTGGTCACTTTTCTGCAAACCCATTTTTTGCAAATTTTGACAGGTCGGGGGTCATAAAAAATTACAAAATATTGACCAAAAATTCGAAAATAAACCAATAATGCAGCTAGATAGATATTTTAATAGCAAATTCAGAGAGGTATTCTACTTTTAAATCGGGTAAAAATTTCAAAAGTTTGGGCTAAGCAGTGCTGGGATCTGGTCACTTTTCTGCAAACCCATTTTTTGCAAATTTTGACAGGTCGGGGGTCATAAAAAACTACAAAATATTGACCAAAAATTCTAAAAAAAAAACAAATAATGCAGCTAGATAGATATTTTAATAACAAATTCAGAGAGGTATTCCACTTTTAAATCGGGTAAAAATTTCAAAAGTTTGGGCTAAGCAGTGCTGGGATCTGGTCACTTTTCTGCAAACCCATTTTTTGCAAATTTTGACAGGTCGGGGGTCATAAAAAATGACGAAACATTGACCAAAAATTCGAAAATAAACCAATGATGTAGCTAGATAGATATTTTAATAACAAATTCAGAGAGGCATTCCACTTTTAAATCGGGTAAAAATTTCAAAAGTTATGGGATAAGCAGTGCTGGGATCTGGTCACTTTTCTGCAAACCCATTTTTTTGCAAATTTTGACAGGTCGGGGGTCATAAAAAATTACAAAATATTGACCAAAAATTCGAAAATAAACCAATAATGCAGCTAGATAGATACTCGAATAACAAATTCAGAGAGGTATTCCACTTTTAAATCGGGTAAAAATTTCAAAAGTTTGGGCTAAGCAGTGCTGGGATCTGGTCACTTTTCTGCAAACCCATTTTTTGCAAATTTTGACAGGTCGGGGGTCATAAAAAACTACAAAATATTGACCAAAAATTCGAAAATAAACCAATAATGCAGCTAGATAGATATTTTAACAACAAATTCAGAGAGGTATTCCACTTTTAAATCGGGTAAAAATTTCAAAAGTTTGGGCTAAGCAGTGCTGGGATCTGGTCACTTTTCTGCAAACCCATTTTTTGCAAATTTTGACAGGTCGGGGGTCATAAAAAATTACAAAATATTGACCAAAAATTCGAAAATAAACCAATAATGCAGCTAGATAGATATTTTAATAACAAATTCAGAGAGGTATTCCACTTTTAAATCGGGTAAAAATTTCAAAAGTTATGGGCTAAGCAGTGCTGGGATCTGGTCACTTTTCTGCAAACCCATTTTTTGCAAATTTTGACAGGTCGGGGGTCATAAAAATGACGAAACATTGACCAAAAATTCGAAAATAAACCAATAATGCAGCTAGATAGATATTTTAACAACAAATTCAGAGAGGTATTCCACTTTTAAATCGGGTAAAAATTTCTAAAGTGTTGGGCTAAGCAGTGCTGGGATCTGGTCACTTTTCTGCAAACCCATTTTTGCAAATTTTGACAGGTCGGGGGTCATAAAAAATTACAAAATATTGACCAAAAATTCGAAAATAAACCAATAATGCAGCTAGATAGATATTTTAATAGCAAATTCAGAGAGGTATTCTACTTTTAAATCGGGTAAAAATTTCAAAAGTTTGGGCTAAGCAGTGCTGGGATCTGGTCACTTTTCTGCAAACCCATTTTTTGCAAATTTTGACAGGTCGGGGGTCATAAAAAACTACAAAATATTGACCAAAAATTCTAAAAAAAAACAAATAATGCAGCTAGATAGATATTTTAATAACAAATTCAGAGAGGTATTCCACTTTTAAATCGGGTAAAAATTTCAAAAGTTTGGGCTAAGCAGTGCTGGGATCTGGTCACTTTTCTGCAAACCCATTTTTTGCAAATTTTGACAGGTCGGGGGTCATAAAAAATGACGAAACATTGACCAAAAATTCGAAAATAAACCAATGATGTAGCTAGATAGATATTTTAATAACAAATTCAGAGAGGCATTCCACTTTTAAATCGGGTAAAAATTTCAAAAGTTATGGGATAAGCAGTGCTGGGATCTGGTCACTTTTCTGCAAACCCATTTTTTGCAAATTTTGACAGGTCGGGGGTCATAAAAAATTACAAAATATTGACCAAAAATTCGAAAATAAACCAATAATGCAGCTAGATAGATACTCGAATAACAAATTCAGAGAGGTATTCCACTTTTAAATCGGGTAAAAATTTCAAAAGTTTGGGCTAAGCAGTGCTGGGATCTGGTCACTTTTCTGCAAACCCATTTTTTGCAAATTTTGACAGGTCGGGGGTCATAAAAAATGACGAAACATTGACCAAAAATTCGAAAATAAACCAATAATGCAGCTAGATAGATATTTTAACAACAAATTCAGAGAGGTATTCCACTTTTAAATCGGGTAAAAATTTCAAAAGTTATGGGCTAAGCAGTGCTGGGTTCTGGTCACTTTTCTGCAAACCCATTTGTTTGGCTAATAAGCTTTTTTACTAGCCAACAAACCAAATTGAGACCTAATAAACACGCACAAATTTAGGTTTATTTTATATTTAAATATAATGTTTATTAAGTCGCACAGCACTTAGTTTGAGTTTTTACAGAAATAGATCAGGCAGGCACGAGTTGCCTCTGATTTCAAAACGATAAAGGTTCGAAGTAGATCAAGCAGACTCGAAGTAGTCTTTGATCAGAAATGCAAGTGAGCAAGAACTTGAGACGAATTGCCACGACGAACGACAGTTGACGACTCATAATTGATTTTAGGCTGCACTCGGCTGAAGGGCAAGCGCGGCGAATACATACATAGATGAAGATAACAGATAAAGAAAACATTGCTTCGCAGAGCAATTTACAAATTTAAGAGAGTTTTGTTTGGTGCTGCATAACCAAACATCCTCCCCCGTTGGAAGACACGGGGTTTCAACTTCATCTTGGATAGGCAGCACACATAATCTTCGGATAGCTCGTTTAATTGTCCCAGTTGCAGTTTTTAGGGCAGCTACACGGACAACTTTGTCTTCTCCGGCGATCAGCTCGTCCACTCTAGCCAGTGGCCACTTAAGTGGAGGAAGGTTCTCGTCCTTCACTAAGACAACATCGTTGATCTTGAGATTTGGATGATTGGTGCGCCACTTAGCACGCTGTTGAAGAAGTGTTAGGTATTCTTCTCGCCAACGGGCCCAGAAAACTTGCTGATGGTAAGATATTCGCTGCCATCGATCCAATCGGTTGCAATTTAACAGTGTGACATCAGGCTCTGGAAACAACACCAGAGGAGCGGTGCCAAGAAAGTGTGCGGGAGTTAACACATCCAAGTCGGCTGGGTTCTCTGAAAGAGGAAGCAGAGGTCTAGAGTTGATTATCGCCCCAATGTGGCAAACTAGCGTGCGCAGCTCGTCAAACGATAATAGCGATGGGCCAACTGAACGATAGAAATGGAATTTGGCCGTTTTTACTGCAGCCTCCCAGAGGCCTCCAAAGTGAGGCGAACGGGGAGGAATGAATCGCCACTCAATGTTATCCTCCAGACAGAATTCCTGCACGGAACGTATGTGGGGGTCGCACAGGAACAAACGTTTCAGCTCGGTCAGCTCGTTCTTGGCGCCAACAAAATTGGTTGCATTATCCGACCATATTCGAGCAGGCTTGCCCCTTGTTAGAATAAAGCGCTTCAACGCTCCAAGAAATGCTTGCGTCGACAAATCCTGAACAAGTTCCAAGTGCACCGCTTTCGTCGAAAAACATATGAAGATGCAGACATACGTTTTACAGGAACCTTGCCTCGAACCCCAGTCCTGTAATGGAACGGACCACAGAAATCCAACCCTGTGACCATAAACGTCCACGTTGAAGATACCCGGCTCTTTGGCAAATCAGCCATTACATGCTCAAACAGTCGGGGTTTGGCTCTGAAGCAGATAATGCATTTATTGACCACAGTTGTGACAGTTTTGCGTCCTCCAATTGGCCAATACTGCAGACGAATGTGTGCAAGCAGAGATCGAGGTCCCGAATGGAGTTGCGCCGATGAAAGTGCATGATAAGTGCGTGGGTTACTGGATGACTCCTCGGTAATATAATAGGATGCTGAGACTCAAAGGCCAATCCAGAATTCTTTAAACGACCACCAACACGCATTATGCCAAATTCATCTATGAACGGTGCAAGAGAAAAAATTTGACTTGAGGATTTAATTGAAAGTTTACCTTGCAGTCGTTTGTAGTCAGCTGCAAGGTTGTTCATCTGGATGGTGCGAAGGAGCAACTGCGTTCCAAGCTGAATATGCTCGACTGTAATTCCAGAGTGCCGGATGCGATGTCGAAATTTAAAGACGTATGCAAATACATGGGTCAGCTTTTGCCAGGAATTGCTGAACTTGCATTGCAACGTCATGTCATTGGAAGGCGTGGTATGAGCCACGAGCGAATTTCTCATTTCTGGTAACGGAGTGATGGCAGAATGCGGGGCGGGCCAGTGAATTCTGTCATTGCACAGGAACGATGGACCTCTTGACCATAGCGATGACTCAAGCAGCTCGCTTGGAAGTGATCCCCTCGACAAAATGTCAGCTGGGTTACAAAACGTGGGTACATATCGCCAATCCATTCCGTTGGTCAGCTCCTGTATCGAAGCAATTCGGTTTGCGGTGAAGACTTGGAACCGGGAGGGCTCATCCTTAATCCACGAAAGTACGACGGACGAGTCGGACCAGCAAAAGAACGGGCAAGAGAAAACGTTCATATCACGGACTTCTCGGATGAGTTGAGACAACAGCAGAGCGGCACAAAGTTCCAATTTGGGAATCGTAAGCGTCTTCAGCGGAGCCACACGAGACTTAGCACAAAGTAGCTGAGCCTCTCTACGACCTTGTGATGAAGACACAGCGTAGATACAGCCACCATACGCATTTATGCTGGCATCGCTGAAACCATGGAGCTCTATGATGCCGGCAGGCTGAACAGCTAAGCGAGGAAATTTCATTTGCTGGGTGCAAGCAATATCAGCTGTTAACTTCAGCCAAGACGAATTTAGCGCAGAGGGAAGGCTCTCATCCCAATCCAATTTCTCCTTCCAAAGCTGCTGCAAAAAGATTTTTGCTTTGGTTATGACAGGGCAGATGAGGCCGAGGGGGTCATAGAAGCGGGCTATTGTGGACAGCACGGACCTCTTGCTAGGTTTTAAGATGCGCTGCATGGGAGAGAAAGAAAACATTAGAACGTCTGAAGTAGGATCCCAAGCGAGCCCCAGCGTTTTGGTAATGTCGCTTCCATCGTCGAACTTCAGGAATGTTTCCCTTTCTGGCTCGGGTGTTTCCTTAAGAACAACGGGGTCATTAGAGCACCATTTTCTCAGCTTGAACTGCCCTTTTCCAAGCAATTCCTGGGTTTGACGCATGATCTCTAAAACATCTTGAGCGGAGTTGCCACCAGTAATCAGATCATCAACGTAAAAATCCCGCTTGAGAATTTGGGAGCCAATGGGATACGAATTCTCCTCATCAATAGCAAGCTGATGCATGGCCCGCACAGATAGAAATGATGCACGCTTGGTTCCATAAGTTACTGTATCCAGCCTGTAAACTTGTATCTCCTGGCTTGGTGAATCTCTCCAAAGAAGGCACTGCAGAAAACTATCGGGCTCGGCAACTCGAACGCAACGATACATCTTGCAAATGTCACCAGTCAGGGCCACAGGAAACGTTCGGAATTGAAGCAGGGTCCGAAATAGTTTGGGCTGAATGGTAGGACCAGCCATAAGGACGTCATTCAAGGAAGATCCAGACGACGTTCGGGCAGACCCATCAAAAACTACACGCAATTTCGTTGTGGTGCTGTCCTTTTTGAAAACGCAATGATGGGGAAGATAATACTGGCAAAGACCAATCGAATCTTTGCTAACGAGTGACATGTGATTCAAGTCCAAATATTCACGAATGAAAGCCGAATATTGAGACTTGAGCTGCGGGTGACGTTGAAGTTTATGTTCCAAATTCAAAAAACGACGATAAGCGTGAGCATAAGAATCTCCGAGCATATCAAGCTATGCTTTAACGGAAGGCGAACAGAGTATGCTCCGGTAGCCAGGCGAGCAAAGTTGGTTTTGAAATGTTCCTCACATTCGAGCTCCTCTTTGGAAAATTTGCAGGCGTAATCAGGAACACTCTCTATTTCCCAAAAGCGTCGAAGTATTTCATCCAATGGCGACTCAACTTCTTCGACGGAAGATACAGACGTCTGAGCTGCAAGAGCCGATGATTCACGGTGTTCTGAGCCACCTCCTGCGACGACCCATCCTAGACGGGTTTTTTGCAGCAAAGGAAGACCAGGAGTGAGTTTTATTTGACCCACACAAAGAAGCTCAAAGAAAAGACTTGCTCCAATTAATAAGTCAATTTTTTGAGGTTTGTGGAAATCCGGATCGGCAAGCTGAAGGTTTGCTGGTATATTCCAGTTCTCCGGACTCATAGGCAGGCTAGGCTGGTTTCCCGTAATCGTTGGAGCAACTAAGGCAGAGATGTATAATTTGAAGTTTGGGACTTCAAGCTAAATTGCACCGATACTCCATCGGAGTCGAATTTAGAATCTCCAAGTCCGGAGACAAGAGTAGACGATTTTTCTCTACGAAGCTGAAGTTGATGAGCAAATCGGGAAGTAATGATATGAAGCTGAGCACCACCATCAAGAAGTGCACGACATGGCACCCAGGTGCCAGAACGGCTTTGAATGTTTACAATCGCAGTGGCTAGTAGCACATAATCAGCTTGAGGATTTTGGGCGATCAGAGAGGTAGCATGCGAGGGAGCTGATGAGTTTGCGGAACTATGCGAAGTATCCAAAGTTGGAGATGGCGCAGCCTGAGGACAAGCAACATTATCACGAGGTTGATTTGGAGATCCTGGTGACTCGAAATGTAACAAGCTGTGATGCTTGGATCCACAGACTCGACAAGAACTAGACGCACAATTTTTCATCTGATGGCCCTTTCTTAGACAATTTAGGCATAAGCCAAGTCTTTTCGCTCTCTGAAGACGAAGTTGAGGAGTTAAATTAGTAAACTGATTGCAATTATAGACTGAATGGTTTGCGCTATTGTAACAAACACAACCATTGGCAGTCATATTGGTAGCAAGAAACGAGTTTTTATTACTAGAACTGTTTCTGCCCTTTACGATTTGAGGTTTACTTGCGTAAATTGTTGCAACATGCTCCACATTTTCCAATTTTAAGCAGCGCTTGTCCAAAAAATCCAAAAATTGTTGGCATGTCGGAACTTGATCAATTAATGCCGTTTCCTCCCATTTTGCCTGAGTCGAGGTGTCCAATTTCTGAAGCAAACTGTGGATGATGATGGATCCAGAAATTTGCTCAGCAGTTCCCATCGACTGCAATGAACGCAAATTTGTGTTGATTTTGTCCGAAAACTCCCGTAACCTCGCCGCTGTCGCATTCTCTACCTTCTGCATGCCCAAAATCTCTGCGATATGTGCCTGAAAAATAAGACGTTTGTTGTTAAAGCGTTTGTTGAGCAAATCCAAAGCAACAGCATAGTTATCATTGCAAATATCCAGCGAGCGAACAGAATCCAATGCGGAGCCTTTCAGGCACGACTTCAAATGTTGGAGCTTTTCCACGGGCGAAAGATCAGGATCTTGATCGATGATGGTCGAAAACATGGAGAAAAAGTTGGCATATTCGGTGTAGCCACCACTAAATTCGGGCAATTTAATTTCCGGGAGACGAAGCCTTTTGTTAGGCTGACTAGCAGCGGAATCCATGGCGGGTTCCTGGCGCAACGTTGAGCACGGCAAACTGGCCACCTTACGCTTACCAATCTCCTGGAGCACAATTGATTTTGCGGATAAAATCAATTCCTCAAATTCATCCGGCAGCGGACTATCGATTTCATCGTAGTCAAGCTCTTCGAGAGACCCATGAGCCAGGTTAAACGAAACTTCGGTTTTATTCAGCAACTCCAGTCGCAAACTAAGTTCTTCTTCAGCCATCAGGGAAATTCGATCGAAGGTCAATGAACTTTCAATGCTTTGCGCATGCATGAAAATTGACCGAGATTTCCTTTTATAAAACTGCGCCTTGTCGATGTTGACAAGAGTAATTTCCGTTGACATTTTTAGCCGAAAATTTATTTATAAAACAAAGTTCAAATAATTGCAGTTCGCGACGAAGAGGTTATGGCACAGTTTTGAAGCTTTGACAGTTTTGAAGGCACTGGCGCCAAATTGCAAGCCTGAATCGACCACGAGAAGTAAATGCTGGCTTCTCTTCTGCTAGCATTAAAACCAAAAACAACCATCAGCTGCAGATCAATGAACTTGCGAAAAACGTTTGACAAGCGAGAGCCAGAGCGAGAGCGAGATTGAGAGAGCGATACCGTACGAACCGATGCGAGAGCGAGATGCGAAATTATGTGTACATAAATACATATAAACGCATGTGCAAAACCAACCCTTTTGCGCAGGTTAATTTTATACATTTATATTTTCCAAAATGATTAACTAAATTTTTCCATCACGTCGGGGTCACCAAAATGTTTGGCTAATAAGCTTTTTTACTAGCCAACAAACCAAATTGGGACCTAATAAACACGCACAAATTTAGGTTTATTTTATATTTAAATATAATGTTTATTAAGTCGCACAGCACTTAGTTTGAGTTTTTACGAAATAGATCAGGCAGGCACGAGTTGCCTCTGATTTCAAAACGATAAAAGGTTCGAAGTAGATCAAGCAGACTCGAAGTAGTCTTTGATCAGAAATGCAAGTGAGCAAGAACTTGAGACGAATTGCCACGACGAACGACAGTTGACGACTCATAATTGATTTTAGGCTGCACTCGGCTGAAGGGCAAGCGCGGCGAATACATACATAGATGAAGATAACAGATAAAGAAAACATTGCTTCGCAGAGCAATTTACAAATTTAAGAGAGTTTTGTTTGGTGCTGCATAACCAAACACCATTTTTTGCAAATTTTGACAGGTCGGGGGTCATAAAAAACTACAAAATATTGACCAAAAATTCGAAAATAAACCAATAATGCAGCTAGATAGATATTCGAATAACAAATTCAGAGAGGTATTCCACTTTTAAATCGGGTAAAAATTTCAAAAGTTATGGGCTAAGCAGTGCTGGGTTCTGGTCACTTTTCTGAAAACCCATTTTTTGCAAATTTTGACAGGTCGGGGGTCATAAAAAATTACAAAATATTGACCAAAAATTCGAAAATAAGCCAATAATGCAGCTAGATAGATATTTTAATAACAAATTCAGAGAGGCATTCCACTTTTAAATCGGGTAAAAATTTCAAAAGTTATGGGCTAAGCAGTGCTGGGTTCTGGTCACTTTTCTGCAAACCCATTTTTTGCAAATTTTAACAAGTCGGGGGTCATAAAAAACTACAAAATATTGACCAAAAATTCGAAAATAAACCAATAATGCAGCTAGATAGATATTTTAACAACAAATTCAGAGAGGTATTCCACTTTTAAATCGGGTAAAAATTTCAAAAGTTTGGGCTAAGCAGTGCTGGGATCTGGTCACTTTTCTGCAAACCCATGTTTTGCAAATTTTGACAGGTCGGGGGTCATAAAAAATTACAAAATATTGACCAAAAATTCGAAAATAAACCAATAATGCAGCTAGATAGATATTTTAATAACAAATTCAGAGAGGTATTCCACTTTTAAATCGGGTAAAAATTTCAAAAGTTTGGGCTAAGCAGTGCTGGGATCTGGTCACTTTTCTGCAAACCCATTTTTTGCAAATTTTGACAGGTCGGGGGTCATAAAAAACTACAAAATATTGACCAAAAATTCGAAAATAAACCAATAATGCAGCTAGATAGATATTCGAATAACAAATTCAGAGAGGTATTCCACTTTTAAATCGGGTAAAAATTTCAAAAGTTTGGGCTAAGCAGTGCTGGGATCTGGTCACTTTTCTGCAAACCCATTTTTTGCAAATTTTGACAGGTCGGGGGTCATAAAAAATGACGAAACATTGACCAAAAATTCGAAAATAAACCAATGATGTAGCTAGATAGATATTTTAATAACAAATTCAGAGAGGCATTCCACTTTTAAATCGGGTAAAAATTTCAAAAGTTATGGGCTAAGCAGTGCTGGGTTCTGGTCACTTTTCTGCAAACCCATTTTTTGCAAATTTTGACAGGTCAGGGTCATAAAAAATTACAAAATATTGACCAAAAATTCGAAAATAAACCAATAATGCAGCTAGATAGATATTTTAACAACAAATTCAGAGAGGTATTCCACTTTTAAATCGGGTAAAAATTTCAAAAGTTTGGGCTAAGCAGTGCTGGGATCTGGTCACTTTTCTGCAAACCCATTTTTTGGCAAATTTTGACAGGTCGGGGTCATAAAAAACTACAAAATATTGACCAAAAATTCGAAAATAAACCAATAATGCAGCTAGATAGATATTCGAATAACAAATTCAGAGAGGTATTCCACTTTTAAATCGGGTAAAAATTTCAAAAGTTTGGGCTAAGCAGTGCTGGGATCTGGTCACTTTTCTGCAAACCCATTTTTTGCAAATTTTGACAGGTCGGGGGTCATAAAAAATGACGAAACATTGACCAAAAATTCGAAAATAAACCAATGATGTAGCTAGATAGATATTTTAATAACAAATTCAGAGAGGCATTCCACTTTTAAATCGGGTAAAAATTTCAAAAGTTATGGGCTAAGCAGTGCTGGGTTCTGGTCACTTTTCTGCAAACCCATTTTTGCAAATTTTGACAGGTCGGGGGTCATAAAAAATTACAAAATATTGACCAAAAATTCGAAAAATAAACCAATAATGCAGCTAGAAAGATATTTTAACAACAAATTCAGAGAGGTATTCCACTTTTAAATCGGGTAAAAATTTCAAAAGTTATGGGCTAAGCAGTGCTGGGATCTGGTCACTTTTCTGCAAACCCATTTTTTGCAAATTTTGACAGGTCGGGGGTCATAAAAAACTACAAAATATTGACCAAAAATTCGAAAATAAACCAATAATGCAGCTAGATAGATATTCGAATAACAAATTCAGAGAGGTATTCCACTTTAAATCGGGTAAAAATTTCAAAAGTTTGGGCTAAGCAGTGCTGGGATCTGGTCACTTTTCTGCAAACCCATTTTTGCAAATTTTGACAGGTCGGGGGTCATAAAAATTACAAAATATTGACCAAAAATTCGAAAATAAACCAATAATGCAGCTAGATAGATATTTTAATAACAAATTCAGAGAGGTATTCCACTTTTAAATCGGGTAAAAATTTCAAAAGTTATGGGCTAAGCAGTGCTGGGATCTGGTCACTTTTCTGCAAACCCATTTTTTGCAAATTTTGACAGGTCGGGGTCATAAAAAATTACAAAATATTGACCAAAAATTCGAAAATAAACCAATAATGCAGCTAGATAGATATTTTAATAACAAATTCAGAGAGGATTCCACTTTTAAATCGGGTAAAAATTTCAAAAGTTTGGGCTAAGCAGTGCTGGGATCTGGTCACTTTTCTGCAAACCCATTTTTTGCAAATTTTGACAGGTCGGGGGTCATAAAAAACTTACAAAATATTGACCAAAAATTCGAAAATAAACCAATAATGCAGCTAGATAGATATTTTAATAACAAATTCAGAGAGGTATTCCACTTTTAAATCGGGTAAAAATTTCAAAAGTTTGGGCTAAGCAGTGCTGGGATCTGGTCACTTTTCTGCAAACCCATTTTTAGCAAATTTTGACAGGTCGGGGGTCATAAAAAATTACAAAATATTGACCAAAAAATTCGAAAATAAACCAATAATGCAGCTAGATAGATATTTTAACAACAAATTCAGAGAGGTATTCCACTTTTAAATCGGGTAAAATTTCAAAAGTTTGGGCTAAGCAGTGCTGGGATCTGGTCACTTTTCTGCAAACCCATTTTTTGCAAATTTTGACAGGTCAGGGGTCATAAAAAATTACAAAATATTGA